GGGGTGTGAGGCTGGGCTCTGCAGCCTTGGCAAACCGCCTGTATCTTAAACTCATTAAACCCTAAATATCGTGTAAGTAAAGAACTGGTTTAAAATACAAGAGCGCTTTGGGAGCAGCAACTCACAAAGCTATGGCTCAGCACCAATTTCTCATTAACTCCTCAGACACAGAGCACTTTTCTGCAGCCACTCCACAGAAAGCAGAATGCCTGCTTGTTCGCCTCACTGAGTGTGCTACTACAGTATAATATTTTTCCATCTGCATGGTCCAAACCTTTCACAGAGCTTATGAAACATATTCCAACTTTCTTGCCCACATTTTGTTGGGTTATTTTCTTGGCTTTAACTGACCCTCTTGTCCTTTTCTACTGTTCTCTCAGTTCTGCAACTTATTTCCTTTTCCTTTTTATAGTAGGACATTTACACTAGGAAACAGTGTTTGATCGTTTTGTGATCATGTTCCTTCCTACTCTGAAATCCCTCATTTTTACCACTTTTCTTGTCTTGTTCACCCTTTAGGAGTGTCCTTGTCCTTACTCTGCGCTTTGACAGGAGATTGCTGATGTGTTGGGAAAATAGTAAGCACTGAATTTATAACCAGAGTGAATCTATGTCAATAAGATCTTATTAATCTTTGTCTGATATTACATGGGGCAAGGATGCATGCTTTCACATGGGATCTGTCAGCGGTATCACTGTGTGTTTAGCAAACTTCATAGGGATTAGTTTGCTTGTAGTATGCTGCTTAACTCCTGTCTCAGTTTGTATCTAGGCGATTATTAATTCTCTCTTTTCCCATTTTTGGATGAAACAGGCAATAACTATCCTTTCTGTATAATAAGCAATGTAGAATATAGAGTAATATTTTATAATAAAAATGGAAGTGAAACTGTAAATCCAAGCAGAAGTCATTAATGTAAAAATGAACATTGAAGAAATAGGATTTCTTAAAGACGCTTGCAGCTGGAGAGTTGAACTTTTTTGAGGGGAAGACAGTGAAATAGCATTGCAAAATAGGTTTTCTAATGTACACTGAAATGTATTCTCATTACTATCTTCTCTATTTGTTCTGGTTTGGATGGCTCTCCACTTTCCCTCATCTTCTTTCGGTATTTTATTTGCTAAGTGAAATGGAAAGATTAACCCCCAAAATCCCCACCCCACAGTTAAATTCCAAGGAAGGTCTGAGGTCTTACTTTCCCTTCTGGCACAGCAAATGGCGCATCGTTCATACATTAATATTCCCAGCTACACCCTTTTCCAAGCTGAGATACAATGAGGTAGTACTAGAGAGTAAATTGCCCATTTTGCAGCATGGACAAGTTTAATTAAATATATTTTACTGTCCTCAAAGATTTGAACTTCATTTGTACTTGCTTTTGTAATCAGTCACAGCCTTACTATTTCTTTTAGAGTGCATTTTTTGTTGGAAGAGTGCAATACTTGGGGGCTGCAGCTCTGAAGGAGTGCTTTAGTGCTTTCTAGAAATACACTTTTCATAATAGGACTTATTTTCATAACTGAGTTCATTGAAGAAAAAGATTGGCATAAACTGCTACAGTGCACCTTCTTTTAAAACATTCTTTTTTAACTGTCATTTTGGTTTAGAAAAAGAAAAAAAGCTCAATGGGCTGAAAGTGCTAGTCAAACGCACTGTCAGCTAGACTGATGTGAAGCGGTGCTGACATTTTTTGTTAAAAACCCCCCAACTTTGTTTAATGAATTTTGAATGTAAAAGAAAAAAAGACACTATAGGGTGATCAGCGAAATGCTGAATACAGTAAACATCTTTCATGACAAAGAATACAAATACCCTGCAGATCTGCTTTCAATAGCAATTACTAGGCTCCCTGCTTTCAATAGTTAATACCGAGGCCCCTCTCTCACCAAGCCTTAGTGGTAACAATCACAAGCCAAAGCTTAAAATGTTGACATGCTAAGCACATTTAGAAAAACCTATGTCTGCATTCCCTATGGATGGTGTAGCATAACTGTCTAACACCTAAAGTGCAGCAAATAAGAACAAAATGAACTGAGCTAATCGCCTCATCTCCTGAAAAGTTGTATGTAAGGGTAATGAGCTCTCTCTTAGATATTCCCCTTCTCCCTTGCATGATGTCAGTGGACCTGTAGATGGTCCATATATGTATTTACACCCTAACAGGCTATATGTCTCCACTGGAAAATATTTAGGAAGAATATCTCTATTAGAAAAAAAATTGAAAGCTGTTGAGAGAGGCATTTGTACTATGCTCATTCATGCCAGCTGCTGGGATCAGGCATCATCATCATGGATTGTAAAAAAGTGTATCAGCAGAGGTCTGGAATGAAACTTTTGGAGAAACAGTGAAAATGATAAATTGGTGCTGGGGGAGAGACATAAAGAGGAAATGCAAAGGAGAAATTAATATGCTGAAGATTCTGAACCGATATCTAAAGAGAGTGATGAGAGGCAGGCCAGGATTAGTAGATTTCTGGAGCAAAACTCTGAAATTTGATAGTCTGGAAATACCATATTTTCAAATGAAAGCTGACATCCTTTCCCTTCTTTTCTTCCCTTTAACCTGGCTGGGAGCTGGTGTACAGGCAGGATTTGAAACATGGCAGAGAAGTTACAGAGCATTTGCTGAGCTGGTTTTGGCCAACTTACAAGGTCAGTTAATCCTGACATGAAAAAGGACAACATCCATTACATCCTATCCACTGAGTCAGACCAACGGCTTTCAGTCTGCGGTTTGAAGACTTTACTCCTGGCTCTTTTTCCATAGGACTCCATGGCAAATGATTCTGGAGTATAAATGAATTTCTATCTGTACTACAATCTGTGTGTGATGGGGTCCACGTGTCCACTGAAACTTTTTTAGGGGTCTTCAACTGAAAAGGGCTGAAAAAGCTTTGCAGTAGGCTTTTAAACTTTGCCCAGCACTTAGGTGTCTGATGACGATGGTTCCTGGAGAGCTGGGAGCTGTTTGTTGCCCACTGTCCTGGCACTGAAGACTGTTCCTGAAGCGCTGCGGTTTGCTCACGTTATTCAGAATTGGCTTAGGATTTGCAACACCTCAAGGAGAAGCAAAGTCCCAAAAGTGGGAGTGGACTTTCTTCTGGCTTGATTCTGGAGAGAAAAGTGGCTGGTGGATTTTGTGCTAGTACTGCAAGATGGAGGTTGCGAGCATAAGTCTAACCCATTTGGTTCCCTACACTGCTTTTACAGCCCTGCTGCAAACAAGCAAGCGTGTGTGTGACTCCTTAGGGAGTTAGTGTTGTTGGGTTTGCATGTAAACTTTTGCCTGAGAGATAATGGCAAAATAAATTAATTAATGTTTCCCTGGCCCTCAGTCTCCGAGCCAGACAATTTTCCTTGCTGTAGCCAATGGGATTTTCAGCTATTTGCACTCAATGAAGTGTCTTCAGTTTTCTTGAGAATGAAGAGGGCTCTTGCAAAATTTAATAGCACATAGGTTAAATGGGAAAGAATCACAGTGATGGTAGGAAAAGACATGATGCCGATGAGCTTGATAAGAGATATGTACAGGTGCTTTAAAAGATGATAGGAGTATTAAACAACTACTTCAGCCTTACAGTATTCTGTTTACACGACTAGTTTTCCCCTTGTCATACTTAACAGTGGCTAGTTGTCAGAACCTGAGTAGGTTTTCAGGGCACGTTTTGCCGCAGGTGACATTGTTTGTACTATTTTCTGTCAACAATAGTTACAACACAGGGGGCGGGAGAAGAGTTTCCAGCGCTGGCATTGGTGGTTCAGTGGTAGAATTCTCGCCTGCCACGCGGGAGGCCCGGGTTCGATTCCCGGCCAATGCAGTTCTCGCTTTTTCCGCC